GAATATTTAAATAAAATAAAAAATTTGGAAATTTTTTATAATGGTCTCCTTAGCTCTTTAGAAAGATTTGTTGATGCTAGTTGGATAACTGATAACTCTATGATATAGAGTTATTTGGGCTTAATTTGATATTAATTTAGTTTAGTTCTTATAGTAATGCATATAACTTAGTAGGTTTTATTTAATTATTTTAAGTTAGTTAATTTAGGTGAGTCAATCTAATCTTAATTAATTTTATGCTTAATTTGATGTTAATGTGATTAAGATAGGGTGTTATTGATTTATTTGTGCCTTTGTAGGTATTTAATGAAGGAAGAATTTTCATGAAAGAAAGAGAGCAATTTTAAGGTGTAGACTTCCACTTCATATATTTTAGTATTTCAACCATAACTCTCTCTACAAAACTCCAAATGAAATCATTTCTAAACCATAGGAAAGATAAGAGAAAAAGTTACAACTTTCATGTTTACCACTTTATCCAATTCAACTTGGAAGATGATAAAAAATGTTGAAATTAAAGCACTATAGCAGTCCTAAATCATTTATGATTTCTATTATTTAGATAGTTAAGGCCGTGGCTTTGGAAGAGGTAGGCCACGACCCACATAGTCTGATAAGAAAATCTTAATTCAAATTGACTTCTTTCTAATCTAAATTATACACATATAAGGCTATTCTTAATCTTTTTTATAGTCTAGCTCTAACTACCCAATTAACAGTATTATAGTATAACTCCAAACTAAATATTATAGTCTAATTATGTAATAATATTGTATGATAACTCTAACTAAAGAGTTTGTATAATTATATTAACAATTCCAAAATACCTTATGGAAACTAGAAAATAATGTATTATTATAAGCCTTATAATGAAACCATGTAATTTTGAAACTTTAATGGTGAATTTCGAATTCTCGTCATTTGGTGTGAAATTAAAATTCTTTACAAAAATCTCTTTATGGTTTTTTTTTGTTGTCATTAATACTACACAGAGAGAGAGAGCCATAAAGCATAAATCATATTAATTTCAATCCTTTTATATTTCATTCATTAATGAGGAGAAAATAAATATTTGAAAAAGAAAGAAAAAGAATTGATTCCATTTGGAAAAACGCTTCATAATCTACAAATCACTGAATTTTGTATCATTGAATTTAACTAGAATCGTAGAGAAAAAAAAGCCATGAAATATTTTCATATTAATTTTATGCTTTTCATGTTCCATTATTTAATTATTTGAAAGTGAGGTTAGTTTGTCTTTTCTAATTTTTTTTATTGGATGTGATTATGATTTTAATTTGTTGTTTGCCTTTTTCTATTTACTTGAAAATCTATTTACTTTTTTATTTTTAGTTTTATTCTAATGAAGTAGCATGAGAATATTATTTTATCAAGAGATTATATATATATATATATATATATAATACAAATATTTTCTTGAAGAATAAAAGCTAGCCGTGCAAAGCATAAAAAAAACTAATATATCTAAAAAAATTATTCAATGAGTTATGAACACACGTAAAAAGAAAAAGATAAATAAAGTTACCTTTTTATCATTAATAGAAAATTAATAATAACAAACTTAGGCGACACAAGCTAGCATTGATAGTTAGATATCATGTGTTTTTATTTTAAAAAAAAATTATTGCGGACAAGCTCTTATCCAGTAAAGAGGAAATCCTTAATTACTTTAAGATTCTAATTCGAATTTCAGGTGTTTCGATTTGGCATAATTTTTATCAATTTTGTTAGTTATATATTGGTTTGTTGGTTAATTCTTCTGTTTAATTTAATTTTTAATTTTTATATAAAAATAAACTATTTGATCATAATTTTTACACGTATATATGTTTAAGTTCAATAAAAGAAAAGAAATAAGAAAAGGTTTCTCGTAAGATGAGTATAGGCCTAGTTGAGACGGCAAAGGTCTATTCGCTTGTGCCAGTGGTTGTCAAAAGAAAGAAAACATGCTTCAACAGCAGCTATATATAAGATGCATGCATGATGAGCAAATGAATTAATATCATTGTCAAAGTATTCTCAATTTCTTAATTGGCCATATTTTCCGCTAAGCATCTACGGACTGATTATAAGCTAGCTATATATGTGCTTGCTAATTAATTCAAATTTATTAGTCTTAGAAAAAAATTGACTCTTGACAGTACTAAAACAGATACATGCATGCACTCCATGCATTTTCCTCACCCCTCTGAAGTGAAAGCAGATATCTTATTAACTGGCGTTACTGTACTTACAATTTAGTAATTAATTAGGATAAAGTCTGGTTAAGCAGTGTCTACAGACACTTAATTTGTTAAGTTTATTTCATCCTAAATATTTAATTAAAGGCTTCATTCTAATAAATAATATGACAATTAAGAAAAACTGACTATCTATAGGTTTGTTGGTGGAGAGAGACCATTATTATGAACTTGTTTTTCTATTTTATGGGGCAGAGATCTATTGATGATGAGTTTTAGAGGTGACTTTATTTCTTTTTTTTGAAATGGATGCTTTGATTATTGACAAAAGCCAGAAGCTTAGAAGCGTAGCTTTATGGCTTGCTGAGTCCAGGAGGGAATAAAGAAAAAAGAACATAGAAAACCCCACTATATTCAAAGTAAACTAGCTCCTGGTCACGGCAACAGTAAGACACTCACTATTATCGACATGAAGGCTGTCCAAATCTAAAGCGGAATCCTCCAATGTTTGAATGATTTTGATTAAAAACATAATCAGCCATAGCTCACTGCAACCCCTCAACGTGGAAAACTGCATCGAACTTGGAGTGTCGCATGCTTTAATTCAATTCCGAAATTTGTACTCTCGGGTTGAATGTTGGCAATGGGTCCGATTCTCCATTAACACCGGCTCTTGCAAGTTGATCAACATCCATATTTGCCTCTTCAAAGTACGAGTGTGTGACACCTTTCACTCCCATATTTGAGCTTTGAGTTTTTCTTAATATACATTGGTAAATATAGAGTTTGATCAATGAAACTTTCTTAAATTATATTTATTTTGTTATTGAATTTTAATAATATAAATAAAACAATCAAATTTATTTAATCAATTCCATGATTTTTAACTACTTTAAACAATATACATATATAATGGTTATAGTTTAATAAATTATTATTAATTTATACACTGACATAAAAGTTTTCAACTTCGTAATCAGATTAGATAACTGCGATGATATTTTAATGTAATAATTAATTTATTAATTTTCACAAATAGATTATAATAGAATTGGTGTCAATTCTTTAACTTTAGTTTCAAAAATTTGAAAACTTTACCACAAATATTTAAATATAATTTTCCTTAATAAAATGTGAATTATATAAAAAAAATGAGAAGGTGTAAACATTATCAATGAACTGATATGTTTACATTTATGTAAGTCCACTCCTTTCGTCTTGCACTAGTACAGATAGGATTATTTTCTCTTTTTTTTTTTAATTTATGAAAAATTTGATCATTTCCTCGGCAAAATGAATGCATGGTTGAAATGGCAGCACTAAAGACTTGCCAAAGATTAAAAAAAATAAAAATAAAATCCCATTCTGTTCCTTGACTTGAATCATCAAATCATGCATGAATCACGAAGCATGTCTAAGGTAATTAAAGAGAGCGTATACAACAAGTTCACTTAGTCAAGCAATTTACGTATCCAACTAAAGGAAATATTAATTGGTATTAGTAGGCATTGATGAAGGTAAAAGTCATAAAAAGAGTTTTAATTAATATATTATTTTTTTAACTTGATGAGAAAAATTGTTTCTATTTTTTTTGAAAAAGGCATCAGTAATTTATTGATAAAAACGCATTTTAATGAAAAATAATTTCCTTTGGCTAAAAAAAATTGAAAAATTACTTTCTAAAATAATAATTTAATTAATTTTGACAAATGTCCATAAGCACCAATAATCGGACCTTGTCAATAATAAGGCCCGACAATGAATTTACTGAAGAAGTGAAATAATGTTTTTGCTTTTGCAAATCTAAGGCTTATATCTGCTGTAACTCCATTGTTCTTCAACAATTTTTTGGTGTTTTTACAGTACTAAAAGTGGCAGAGACTCGATATAGGTTTCCCTTAGAGCACAACCCACATTGAATGCGACGCGGTTTTGTGAGGCAGCAGAGGCATTACCTTTGCCACTGCTGACTTTGGCATTTCCCCCTTGAGTTAATGCTCTTGCTGTAATCTTTTGACTATAGGGCTACACTTTTGCTCCTTTTAGGTCAGCGTCGTCTCTCTCTCACACACCCTTCCCAACTCTCTTTTCTATATATGCAAGACCAAGCAAACCTTTCCCTTGGACCCTTGTCTTAAGCTTCCAAGAGGAAAGATAGAAAGAAAAAAGGTATTGCCAAAAGCAAAACAGGGAAGCTCCAAAGAAACAATAGACCAGAGAAGAGCATAAAATCTGTTTTCTTGAGAATTAGTGGTCTCGAAAAGAAAAAAAAAAGAAAAGAAACAAGTGACATGGGGAGACCACCTTGTTGTGACAAAGTTGGTGTCAAGAAAGGGCCATGGACTCCTGAGGAAGATATCATCTTGGTGTCTTATATTCAAGAACATGGTCCTGGGAATTGGAGGGCTGTTCCTACCAATACAGGTTTGTTTTTATATTTTTTTTTATCTTTCGATTAAATTATATCTATTTTGAGCTACGTTCCTCTTTTTTACACGGTAGGTCTTGTTTTTGGTTTGGTTGATCATAAAGGAAATGCAATCAAAAGTTCTCAATTTTTGTTTTTTTGTTTTTCCTAGTGACATGGAAAAGACCCACTACGATTTAATTGTAGTGAAGTTATTAATCTTGTTTGTTTCTGGTTTCCAGGATTGCTTAGATGTAGCAAGAGCTGCAGACTTAGATGGACTAATTACTTAAGGCCAGGGATTAAACGGGGTAACTTTACAGAACATGAGGAGAAAATGATAATCCACCTTCAAGCTCTTTTAGGCAACAGGTATCTATCTTCTCTTTCTCTCTAAGGTCCTAAGCCCCCGAAAGGAAAATTCTGGCTTTGTAACCAAATGTATAATGTGTTATGATTGTGTCATCTGTTTAATCTTAGATGGCAATGGCATGAATAAGTGGTTTGTCAAAAGCAGCAATATAAATGGAGCATTTATTATTTGTGCAGATGGGCTGCAATAGCATCTTACCTTCCTCAAAGAACAGACAATGACATTAAAAACTATTGGAACACTCACTTGAAGAAGAAGCTGAAGAAGCTCCAAGGCGGTGAATGTCATTCTAAAGATGGGTTATCATCATCATCACAGCAAATTTCTCGAGGCCAGTGGGAGAGAAGGCTTCAGACTGATATCCATATGGCTAAACAGGCTTTAAGCGATGCCTTGTCCCCAGAGAAATCAATTGCTTTAGCTCAGCAGAAACCCTCTAATGGGTATATTTCTTATGCGAAACCAGGAGGCTATGCATCAAGCACAGAGAACATAGCTAAGTTGTTGAAAGAGTGGATGAGAAATCCATCAAAGCCTGTTTCTGCAAACTCTGCTGCCACTCAACTGTCATTTGACAATATGGCTGGGACTGATTCTGCTTCTAGTGAAGGGACTCCAAGTAAGGAAGAAAAAAGTAGCAGGGAAATGTCAGAGGCTTTTGAGTCACTGTTTGTCTTGGAATCTTTCGATTCTTCCAATTCTGATTTCTCACAGTCAATGTCACCTGAGGCAAGCCTTTTCCAAGATGAAAGTAAGCCAGATCTTAATGCCCAAGGGCAACTGTCATTGCTTGAGAAATGGCTTTTTGATGATGGTGCAAATCAAGGGAAAGATTACCTTAGTGATTTCTCATTAGATGAGAATGCTAATTTTTTCTAAAGGGGGGGTTGTTGTTTTAGGGGCCTTTTGGGATTCTTTTGATCTTGGCTTTTTTTTTTTCGCTAGAGGTCTTGTTCAAGGAGGAAACTTGTCACCCCTTTCGTGGTAGAACAGAAGTGTAAATTTTACATTATTGTGGCAGATATATCCTTGGTTGAGAATAAGTAATTTCTGTCCTCATTATTTGCATAGAAAAAGATTTATCAGCTTTGTAAAATCTTGTATTTGCAATTATGAGATGAATTAGAGTACTTGTTATTTAAGCTGTTTTGGCTTGGAGCCTAAGAAAGTTTTAGTCGATGAAGTTCTAGTCATTATCCACGGATGAGTTTTGCTGGATTGAACAATTGCTGTAGGTCCTTGTCATTATCCATGGATGAGTTTTTCTGGACTGAACAATTGCTGTAGGTCCTTGTCATTAATAGTTTTCTTTGATTTTGAAGGAAAAGATGCAAGGAAAAAGGAGATGGAAAAATAAATGGATGAACAACTTATTAATAGCAAACACGCCCTTCTATTTATTGGCTGTGCTGAAGAATTAAAGTTTGACTTACTTTCTTGTGAGCCTGTGCATCCCATGACCCATGATGAAAGAAAGTCAACTACCATGGCATGCCTTTTTGCTCAATTGAAAGTTCATTGAAGTAAAGGTAGCATTAATTAGGTAGGCTACTAGAACCTTGTTTAACTAGTTAATGTGAAGTAAATTCCCAGCTAATATAGAGGAAACTTTTGATTGCATTGTCTCATCTCGGTAAAATTGAAAGCAAAAGCAGAAAGCAGATAGTATTGATTTCATGCCTCGTGCTAGATCATATCAAAGGAAGAACCTTTGGCTGAACAGTGATCAGGCAGATCAGCATAGTTCAATGATTACAACCCAAATATCACAGGATCCTTACTATCTTTTTTTAATATTATCTATGCTTCCCCAAAATATGAAAAAAAAAAATTGTATATTTCAATAGGAAATTGCTTTGGAAATCTCCTAGCCTGGTCTTAAATGCAACATGTGATGCCTTTTGATTTTATTGCCTGTTTTCACAGGTTGGAGGACTAGTTTTAAATGGTAATCCTGACCATGCAATTGCGAGAAAGATACACACTGTAAAGCCATAAGAAAGTCAATTGAGGCCTCATGAAAAACATTACCCCAAATGACAACCAAAGCGAAAGCAAAATTCAGAAAGATGAAACTCAATTCTGCCCCCCCATTGGAATTCTAAGAGGGGCGTATTAAATGCTTTGCCCCCTCTTCTTCTATCAAATGCCATCGGAAATTTGGCAACGAAGGCTGTATCTAGCCTAGCCGTTATGGGGAAATAGAGAAGAACAAGTCAAGATCTAACTTAGCCAGAAAGTTTCTTCCTCTCAACCATCATTAAGTGCAGTTACATGGTGACGTGATGGGTGTGAAGCTGGCATCAAGTAGAGGAGTATGAGAGCACATTTTCATACTAAATTAAATCTAATATCTCTAAAGTCTCTTTAAATTGTACATTTTATAAAATCTCAGATTTTCAAATAATACAATATATTTAATTCTCCAAAAGACACAAATTTCTGATCTAGTAAACATCTTTTTACAAACTAAAACTAAACACTCACATCAAAGCTTATAAATATTCAAGGGTAGATATTAATTTTGCTAACCAAAACTCTCACCAAGCAAGTCTAATTCCCAAGCATGTAAAAACAAAGAAATCTATAAAAGTAATGAAAATTAATAAAATGAGTACAACCACTCAGCAAGTAACTGACATCCCTTCAGTTCGATTGAGCATGTTTCAAAACATTTAAACAAAAATTACCAATATTAATATAGATATAAAAAAAAAGTTTGGGTAATCTCATTAATCATCATATTACACCAAAATGTTATTTTTAGATAACAAAACAAACATAATTTCACAAATATTAAAATTTTAATGGTCTTCTATAACATGCTATGACCATACTTAACCCTTGTGATATGGATTATAATCCAAATGAAAATCATTATTAACTTTAGTGGCATGGGTTATAATCACATCGATAACCACAATTAACCCTAGTAGTATTGGTCATAAGCATATTGGAAGCAACCATTGACTGCATTGAAGAGATATCACAAAAACTGTTATTCTGTAACTTGTGGTGCGATTTGGACATCATTCTTTACTTACAAAGTACATATCCACATTGCCAATATTTAACCCCAATTGGCAAGATCTTAACATAACCATACTAAGAGACAAAACAAAACATATTTTTTCAAATTAAAGTAATGAGTACAACCACTTAGCAAGTAACCCACATCCCTTCTGTTGGATTGAATAAGCTTCAAAATATTTAGGTCAAAATCACCAATATTCATATAGACATGAAAACAAATTTTAGATAATTTCATTCAGAATCATATTATTCCAAAATTTCATTTTCAAATAATAGAACAAACATAATTTCACAAATATATAGATTTTAATGGTCTCTTGTAATACCCTTAGCCACACTTAAACCTCGTGACGTAGGTCATACTAGAATGAAAATCACAATTAACTCTAATGGCATGGGTCATAATTATATTGATAACTATAATTAACCCCAATGGCATGAGTCATAAGTATATCAGAAGCAACCATTGGATACATGCACTAAATAGATATCACAAAAATCACTATTCTGTAACTGGTTACACGATTTGGAAATCGATCTCTAATTATAAAGTTCATGTCGACATGGCTAACATTTAAACCCAATTAACAATATCATAACGTAAACATGATAGGAGACAAAACATATATATATATATATATTTAAATTACCTAATTTCACAAAATAAAATTGTCACGATCCAACTCGAGGGTTCGTGATCGGTGCATGAGCCTAACAGGCAAGCTCACTATACTCGAGCAAGCCTCAGAATCCAAAATCATGCAATACAAATGCCAAGAGATTTAATGAGCAAATAGTCATAATAAAATTTAGATATATATTACATTATCCCTGGCTTACAATCCATATAAGTATTCAAAGGCCATACATTGGCCATAAAATTGAATTTGTACATAACTACCGTTATACAAATCAAATGGCACATCATACTTGAAATATTTTACAAATTAACCAAACTAGAAGGTGAAGGGCCCACATAAACTCAAGAGAGTGACACAATAGGAGGGAAACCTATTAGATGCCAATTACGTGTCCATCCAATTGATGACACTTGCCACGTAACACCATAGCTTCTCTTATCTCCACATGGTACTACGGAGAAGTGAGTCATCTAATACTCAATGAGGGGATACTATCATGAGATAATATTTCACGTATGAATTAAATATCTAGGCTTGTCCAGCCATAATACACTCATATTCAAATATCTCCAAATCAAAAGGTACAAGGATCATCTTAATATCTTGCCTACACAACTCATCGTATTAAACCTTGTAGGATTACATCTGAATGGTGTATCATATCCACAATTTACAAGTTCCGTGTCCTCATATCAAATCATATCAATTCAAGGCTTACCCTTAAAGTCATTACCATCAAACTAGGCTTCATAGGCACACCTTAGTTGCCTATCACAACCTTAAATCTCGTTCACATATAATTTGCTTATCTCAAAACTTTTCAACAAATATCATTCACAGTCAATCACCACAATTTCATATTCAAATCAAATCATGCCATACTCGATGCATAGTCATACGAAATCTAATTAGTAGTCCTACCTTGGACATGTTCAAATCACGCACAGTGGCCAACCAATGGAGAAACAAATCATGTACAGGGCAAAGCCGTTGGGCGGAGAATCCAATCACTCATAACCGTGAAGTAGCTAGCGAAGAACAATTCACGCACTCACCAAAGCAGTGGACAGAGAATTAGAATTATTGAATAGAGTAATCTCTAGACATCGGCATCACCCGAAGTACTCTTAGACGAGTGGCATCAAAGCACCGCAGACGAAAATCACAAATGAGACTAATACCACCATCCTTGCAAGCATATAAGATCACAGGGTGTGGGACTCTACTCAACCATAAGTTAGATCAACTCTTGGAATTCATCCCTCAGATGGAATACACATCCACAAATCAGGCCATCGTTCCTGCAACATTTCATATGTCCACATCAAATCATATTTCAAATTCAATGAGCTTCAGTCATCTCTAAGCTCAGTATAATTCTAAGTGCCTTCAAATCGATAAGGCATCATCAAACGAAACAAAATCAATCTACCATCCCTCATACCTTTAACTCCACATGGGTATTCATCATACTCAATCCAATCAATCGTGGCTTAATAGCCTCATGCATATCTTTAAATCAACCATGAATATGTGGGCATTTATGCATATATCATGTACATAAGTAATCATGGCCCTTTGGCCTTACTTATTAGTATCACTTAATCGCTATGCTATTAACCTAAATACATGTCGAGGCATATACCTACTTGGTAGCCTATTCATCATAATCTGGCATAGTCCTTAATCCATAATTCGTATCACACGATGTACAGGTTTCTTACTCTAAGTCCTACATACCATGGAATCCAACATAATGCCATCTTGTGGCTCACCACAAATCACACAAACACAATTTCCTATCTCAGACAACTAATTAGCCTAGGCATCCTTATCTAGGCACACAATCATATTTGTTCTCTAGCCTAGACACATACCTCAAGGCAAACATACATACACACACACACACACACATACATATCAATTGACTAGCCTAAGCATTCTCATCTAAGCATACACACAACATATAAGTACCATCAATTATGCAAGATGCCTTGCATGCATTTAATTAAATCCCATTCACCTGGACAATTAGAGGTATGCCCACAATAAAGCTCAACTTTTAGCTTTCAACCATCCTCTAGCTCACAAACACATCAATGGCTTCCATTCTCCCCGTGAACAAATCAAAACATCACAAAAATGTTTATTTCCTAGCTTTTGAAAATATTCTTAGCTTTTGAAAATATCGCAACTTTTCAAAAATATCCAAATTCAATATACATGCTCATATTCCAATAAATGAGCTAAATCCTTACCTTAGTAGCTGGGTTGCCCAAATCTATTCTCCAAATCTCTAATAAACTCAAAAAGAGAGAGTTTGATCAAATCCAAAAATATTTAGATTCGAGGTTATTAATCGATTAAATTGAAAATCAATCGGTAAAAACATGTAATCTTACCTCTAGATCTGTTTCCCAAGCTTGGATCTAACTCAAATAGGCTCTAAATGCCATTTAAGGGTTTAGTATTTCGTATAGGGTAGAGAGAGAAAAGAGAAAATGGGTTTTC